AGTCATATTTTTTTTCAATGTTAACTCCATCAATAATAAATCTGATAAAACACAGAAACGTATGAAAATCCCCCAAATAAAGCAGCATGTTGACAGGAAGTCGTCCTCGTTATGAGCTCGGATTGTTTTTTCCTTCTCACCTGTGGAAGAGCCGGAGGTGTCATCTCCGCCGCCTCAGGTGAGGAAACAATGTCACCTTCCCTCTCTGGCTGTCTCCTAAACAACCATCAGTGCTGTGATCCTAACACACACACACACACACACACACACACACACACACACACACACACACACACACACGCTCATATAAATAAAGGATTCAACATCCCGGCTGTGAAAAGGTGTCTCTTCTCGCTCTCTGTTTAATTTATTATCTGGAGTTTTTCTGGTCGTTGCTCTTTCTGAATGAACAGACTTAAAGTGGACCTTATCATGTTCAGGATCGGGTCAGAAACAGAACTTTATGTTCTGGATGAAGAGACCAGACTACAGCGGTACAGTTTGAAGCTCTTACATACCTCGCTGGTTCACTCTGGTCTGAATCGTGGATCATGAACCTTTTCTTTCCAAAACAGTTTTCCATGATCATCTCTCAAAACTTGCTCAGCTCGATGTCGTGACTTACTGTCAAATCCACTCGCTTCGTGAGACCGACAGTTTTCCGGATCTTCTCTATCCCACAGCGTGGATTATGCTGCATTCGAGTTACCTCAGAAGTCAGAAGTCTGAGCTGAAAATGACGTCACACCCGAGTTCCCAGTGTTTCAGTTACCAAGTCAGAAAAAAGCAAAATCGGAGAAACAAGATGGCGACATCTACGAAAGTTATTTCAGTGCTTGCCTTGTCCGGATATAAGGCAAGCGCTAAAATAACTTTCGTTATAACTTGACGGAGGCTGCCAACTTTGTTTTGGTCTGTGGGCCAATCAGAAACAGTTTTTGTGATCAGCTGACCTGTGAAGCTCTAGTGTGAGATCCTGTTCTGTCCTGAGTTTGAGTTATTATTATAATACAGGGCGGCTGTGTCATGTGACTGAACTCGAGTTCGTCTGTGAAGGTTTTTGTTTCGGAGGTGTTCCATGTGCTGACTCAGCCTCGCTGTATTTTACAGGTCTGTTGTGTAAATAGTAACACCCCTGATTGTGAGTCACTGTGCCGTCTAACCCGCTCCGTTAACTTCAGGTCCTTTTATCTCGTTTCAGTCGGGCTCTGTGTTTCTGTCCGTCAGATTTTCGCAGATTTACCGAGTCGCCTGTGTCCGGTCCATCAGTCGACTTAAAAACCAGACCTGGACCGACTTTAGTTTTGAGGCATAATGTCAGGTGACCATACGTCCTCTTTTACCAGGACATGTCCTCTTTTTTGAGGGCTTTATAACATCCTTCAAATGTCTGCGGTTTTGTACGAGATTCTGTGTTATTCTCCACTTACTGAGTTAGAAGCGCGTAAAAGAGACTCGATCTGACAGGAAAAACTATCAAAATTAACTTTGTGTGACTCCGCCCCCGCATAGTCGTGTCAGAATATGGTCCCCCTGAGATAATGTCGATTCAGACATAATTCAGACATGGAGCGAATCTGTGCCTTAAATAACACATTTTGACATGGAAGCTGGAGCCAATTAAAAATGGTCGTCAGGCCCTGATTGGTTGATTGGTCCCCGGGTTGGACTACAGACATGCCTGCTCTGAATCTCCATTAGAAAAACCACGGTCACACAGTCTACCAGAACAGCGAGAGTCCGTCAAACTCAGACCAGTGTTTGGGCCTCCATCCTCAAATCCTCCTCCTCCATCCTTCCCCAAACCTCCACCGTGTTTCTGGGACGGAAGACCAAATCCAGACAGACGCCCACGCGGCGACGTCAGGACGAACCCGTCCAAACACCCACCGACGCCGGCATCCTCGGGCCCCTGCCGCATCCCACGTCCGACCACATCATCTGGGTGGAAGCTGGGCGCTCACTTCCATCGTCTGTTCGGGTCAGGCCTCAGACACCCACCATGAGAGGAGGGGACGCACAAATTATCCCTCCAAACGCTGAGGAACAATGAGAATAAACGCGTCCAAGAATGAAGAAATCACTGGACAAATAAAAGAGACACCTACACTCACACCATGATTAACAGCATGAAATGATTACTGATAATTAATGATTAGAAAATGAGATTCAGAGGAGAAAGTTTACAGCAAACTGGAGCAGAAAACACCGAGGATAAACTTTCGCTCCTGTTTATTGGATTTGACTGAAACTGACAGAAAACTGAGACATCTCTGACGACAGCCAGCGCTCGTTCACTGACTCACTACTTCAGTCGACTTAAAATACCCGTCAACGGTTATTTATGAGCCGTCCTGACTCTTCATGCGTCTATTTTTAGGAGCCACTTAGCAGCAGATGAGTCTCCGCCCGTCGGCACGTCTCAGACTCCTGCAGCAGGTGGAGGGTGAAATGTTGTTCCCTCAGATTCGAGCTTTCTGCTGCGTCTCTCCGTGGAGAAGTGACTGGACGTTCGTCATTGTGTTTGCAGCCGGGCCGTTGGCGAGCGGGAGCCGGTCCAGCCATCTTGTGTGGAAAAATTTTCGGACTGGGCACGAGCCGGCCATCTGCAGCTCCAGGCCTTCAGCAGCCTGCAGCCAAACGCAGAAACGCTGGAGCTGACGGAGGAATCAGCCGCAGAAACATGTCTCTGAGAGATTTCAGACCAAGACGGAGGTTCGACTCGTCATGATGGAGGAGAAATGGAGTCTTTGAAGGGTTCGAGTAGACTTTTCCTGAACAATCCTGAGTTTTAGATCTTCAGGTTTTCACAGAATGATCTTTGTTTTTGTCAGTTTGAGTTCAGATCAGTCAGTTACCGTCATGTTGTTCCCGCCCACCAAACATCCGACGTCGAAGAGACGTACAGATCAAGTCAGTATTAGGTTGGTCCGTCAAAGACCACATCTAGACGTCAGTGCGACGTACAAGATAGGTTCGAAATTTTGACGTCGCTCTGACGTTTAGAATTTGGATGTCATCTGAAGACCAAATCTAGACGTCGGCACAACATGCAAAATAGATCCAAGACTTAGACGTCATTATCGGACCTTTTTAGACGTAGAAATGACGTCCACATTTGTACCTCATCATCGAAAAAATACGTTAAATCGATGTTATTTAGACGTCACATTTCACAGTGGGTGTAAACATGAACCAAACCTGATCCATTTAAAGTAGGACTGGGATTAAATTAAAAAAATTAATCTAATTAATCAGAGGATTTGTAGTTAATCAATCGCATTTTAATCACATATAAATATTTGACCTGAGAACAGTGAGAATCATTTTTTAAATGGTATAAAGAGTGAATTTTTCTGACGTGGACTCACTCATCTGAGCTCTGAATCCTCTCCTCTGGTCGAGTTTACGTTGGTGTGGGTCGCTGTAGTCTGAGTCGGACTAACGTTAGCTTCCAGGCTAGCTGCGACATGTTTAGCATTCAGGTGATACCGGAGTCTTGACGTGCTGCGGTGATACGCTAATTCTTTTTCTCATAGTTTACACAAGACTATTTTTTTATCCAGGCTTCCATCGTTTTTTTTTAAAAAACAAAAATGCTTAACCGCGCCGGAGCCAAACAAATAACATTCATCCACGACTTTGTTCATTTTTCCGTGCGCTGGAATCACTGCTGCACTGATTAGAGTGCGCCGGTATATAAACTCGACCTACATAAACAGGAGGTGTGATTAATATGCATGAATATTTTTAATGAGATAATATTACTGTAGTTAAAGGTGGAGTAAAGAAGCATCTTTTTATTTTGTGGTTTTTATACAAAAATCTTCTAATATCAGTCAATAGTTATTAGTTATTGATTATTTGGTAATATATTGATATCTCTGTGTTCTCTTATGTCTGTGTCGTCAACATTTGAACATTTTTGAGCGGTCCGCTCTTTCTGACTGTAAACAAAGCCGTTCTCCACCTCCTCTAACCTGATTGGTTGTGAGGCAGACGCTGCTCCCCCGTGTCGTTCAGGAGCCCAAACAAAGTTAGCGTGCTACAATATCGGACAGTAGAAACCAACCAGAAAGTTCGGAAAATTGTCTGAATCCTCCTTTGGCCACGACTGCCGACACAAGCAAGAAAACACTCAAACATAAACAGTCAGCAAGAAAACAGTCAACACCAAACCGGTCAACAGGGAAACGGTCAACAGGAAAACAGTCAACACCAAAACAGTCAACAAAAAACAGTCAGCAAGAAAATGTCAACAAGAAAACAGTCAACAAGAAAACGTCAACCATAATCAGTCAACAAGAAAACAGTCAACAAGAAAACAGTCAACAAGAAAACAGTCAACAAGAAAACAGTCAACACCAAACCAGTCAACACCAAAACAGTCAACAAAAAACAGTCAGCAAGAAAACAGTCAGCAAAAACAGTCAAACATAAACAGTCAACACCAAACCGGTCAACAGGAAAACAGTCAACACCAAAACAGTCAACAAAAAACAGTCAGCAAGAAAACGTCAACAAGAAAAAAGTCAACAAGAAAACAGTCAACACCAAAACAGTCAACAAAAAACAGTCAGCAAGGAAACAGTCAACAAGAAAACAGTCAACAAGAAAACAGTCAACAAGAAAACAGTCAGCAAGAAAACAGTCAACCATAAACAGTCAACAAGAAAACAGTCAACAAGAAAACAATCAACCAAGAAAACAGTCAGCAAGAAAACAGTCAACAAGAAAACAGTCAACAAGAAAACAGTCAGCAAGAAAACAGTCAGCAAGAAAACGTCAACCATAAACAGTCAAAAAGAAAACAGTCAACAAGAAAACAGTCAACAAGAAAACAGTCAACAAGAAAACGCTGCTCCCCCGTGTCGTTCAGGAGCCCAAACAAAGTTAGCGTGCTACAATATCGGACAGTAGAAACCAACCAGAAAGTTCGGAAAATTGTCCGAATCCTCCTTTGGCCACGACTGCCGACACAAGCAAGAAAACACTCAAACATAAACAGTCAGCAAGAAAACAAAGTAAATACCGGAGACTCTGGAGGAATAACGGGCGCTTAAAACGGAGGTAGACCGGACAAGAGCTAAAAAGCCGGGTCAACATAAACGATGGGGGACGCTTGGGGATCTTGGTGACCCTGTAACCTTTCTGCTGGACAGGTAAACCGCTTTAACAAAGTAAGACAAGTGTCTGTAACAGAAGTGTTTCTTGTCAGACGGACCTGCTGTAGCGTGTTGTAGCGCCATCGCTAAAAAAAGTTAAATTCCCGGCCCTGATTTAAAGGTAACACTGATTTCGCTGCATGTTCTTGTAAGATTCCTGTTCGCACAAGATCCTCCGTCTCCTCTCTTGTGCGAGGATTATAATGGCGCTCACTCATCGGTAGATCCGCTCGCACGCCGCAGGATTACACCTCGTGTTCAGTGACAGTAAAAAACTGAAGCAGATCAGGATGTGAAATCAAACATCAAGACTCTCACAGTATAGAAAGTTCTGGCACTGACAGAAGTTGGTCTGCAGCCATCATGTTCACACCATTCCCATTAGTTCTTCAGGAGGAATCAGGAACATATGGATGAAATGAGATAAATGACACCGGGGGAATACTTCATTAACACGTAGAGAGGGTTTTTTTAAACGCCGCACGGCTGCAGGAAGGTGTTAGTCATTTTTAGGCTGCGAGGATTATCTTACTCCCCAAAAAAAGACATTTTTATATTTCATGACTCAGACTCTGCTGTTTGAGAGCGAACACTTTAAAGTAGTCTAGACGTGTAAAGACCTCCTTCAGTGACCTGCAGCTGATACTGCTGTGGAGGAAAGACCTTCATGAAGCGCCGAGACTCCAGCTGTGTAAAAAGTAACACCCTGATCTGTGTCGAATGAAACGAAGGTTTTCATGGACGAAGGAGACGCTCAGGGACTTCTGTGTTTTTTTAAATCTGCATCGTCTGATTTATTCAGTCAAACATTTTCCTTCATTTTAATCCAAACCATCTCTGCAGATCTCCTGCATCACAGCGTCGGTCTTCACGTTAGCTCGGATTAATCAAAGCTTATCTCCACACTCCTCGCCGTCACATGATTAACACCTCTCCCTGTCAGCCTCCCTCTGATCCGCCGTCAGATCACAAACCTCTCCTGCTCTTTTGTTGTCTTTCTGGTTAACCCACCGCCACAACGCTTGTCAGGAACATGGCGGATAAACAAAGACATCAGACGGCGTGCAGAAAACATTTACAGTCACTGACACCAGACGTCTGGCTGCTGATAAACTGCAATTATTGATTTCCACAGATTTACTGCTGTCAGAGCGAGGAAACCGCAGCAGAGGAGAGAGAAAGCCGGCAGATCTTTATCTCACGGTCTGTCTGTCAGATGATTCATGGAGAGGAGCTGCAGGGACTCGACAGACAGCGAGAAACACCCTCTAGATCTGGATCTGAGGAGGAGAATCATCGCTGCAGATAATCTGAGAGCCGAGGAGTTTAAGAGAAACCAGATTCAGACCTGATTTCAAAGACATTAATCTTCTTAATCTGGTGGTTTGACAGGGGTCATGGTTAGGACCGTCTTTTCAGCTCCTGTAGTGAAAATATCCGATCAAGAGAACAAGAGATTTTAAAGCTTCACTGTTTTAGATTAGAGAGAGTTTATAATATGAGTGGATGTTTAAGTCTCTGTGAGGAGTTTTTAGAACAAACTGAAATCCACATCGAGACTTCTTCAGGGTCAAACAAACACAAACAGACCATCAGAAGAAAATCTGTAAACTTCTTATTGTTTGTTTACACTGTTACCTCCAACCTCCACCTTCATCCTGATCGTCTCCTAAAAGGTTGTATCCTCCGATCGTAGCTGATCGTAACCATTCAAGTTAACGTGTCAATTTACACCGACTTCTTTCCGTTCCTCTGCGGATCGCCGGACTCCTCAGCTGATCACAAGAGTTCTATTTTTTCTGGACGCCGGAGCGTGGCGGATAAATTCAGCACAGATTAACCCGTGCTGGAAAGGAAGTCGGGCACAGACTTCAAAATAAAACATCCGGCTTCTTTTCAAAATAAAACACGAACGACAAGTCTAGAAGTCTAGAGGTAGATTTCCTCCTCTGGAAGGACACAATCTACTGCTTATATGTCTATGTGTCTGTCTTTATAGAGACAACTCGTTATCGTGTGATTGAACATGAATCTGCAGGTTCTTGTGAGTTCTCGCTGTCCGATTCCTGCTGTCTGTATCCGCCACAAAATGCGCCTCACAAACAGATCCAGTAGGAATTGGCGGACATTGAAAATCGCCGCCGTTCGGGATGAGGTGAAAACTTGGGGTTACAGGATGGATGTCAAACCTGTTTGAACTTCTTCAGAGTCTGTTTGGGTCAGAAAAGCCGCCTTACATACGATAAATACAGGAGAATTCAGATGCGATGGGGGCGCCAAACTCAGCACAAGTGAAGCGAGGAGAAAGGCAAGGAGTACACTTCCTGTCCACAGGGGGCGCCAAAGTACTGACAGGATGATAATGTTTGATCAGAGATGAAATTTAAAGAAAACATCATGAAATCCAGAAATTAACGATGACTCCAGTTTAATAATCTTTAATAATCTGACCCGGTTTGGACCGCAGACCTGAACTCTGTTGGATTATTCCGTTTGGGGGATTTCGGTGACATGGGGGCGGGGCAGCGTTTGGTGGATTTCTGTGTGTCTTTTTGGAGCAGGACTCTTTTGTTTTGGTGCTTGGACTCGGGCCTCAGAGCTGCTCTCCACACCAGACGAGAGGAGCGAGCGAGGGAGGCTCGCAGAGAGAGAGAGAGAGAAGCAAAATGAGCGTTTAGCTGCTGGTGTGAATTGCCTGTCGCACCAGACAGATTTCCTGATCCCATTATGGCTCGAGCTCGCGTTTCCTGGTGCAAATTCTCGGCGGCACTTGTGTCGGCTGCACATGCTCCGGCGGCCTAATGAGGCAGCATTAGCCAGGGGAGACGCAGTAATTAGAGCCAACGTCAGCGCCGAGGACAGATGGCACGCTAAGACAAGCCTCTCGACTTCACCTCGATGTGTGTGTGTGTGTGTGTGTGTGTCCTGACAGAAGAGAGAGGGAAGACGAAATGTGTCAAAAAGAGAGAGAAAAGAAAGACTTCAAATGTGGCGAAAAAGAAGAAGAAGAAGGAGAGGCAGATAAAAAAAAAAAAAACAGACTGAGAATAAGAGGAAGAAAACAGACCAGAACCAGGATCACAGAGCGGGGACTCAACTATTAAAGCTCCAGTGGGGAGTTTTTAGCCAGTAAATAAATCCTGGAATGAACTTTATGGCCTTAAAAGTCAAGGAGTTGGTGTTCTACCTCGGCTGATTTCATTTTACCTTACTGTGCTTTAAAGGGATATTCCGGAGTAAAATCAATTTAGGGTCAAACCCACCATAACGAAACGACCGCAGGATAGAAATACAGAGCGGTCTGAGGAGCCATAAACGAACCTCAACCAAAACGCCACTCTATAGACACAAATAATACTCAGAACAGCACCTAACTTCATCAACAGGACATATAGGGTCACAGACATAGAACTATATTCAGAGTTGTTCAAACTCCTAAGAAAACAAACTTAAGCGGGGGCGTTTCTCCACTTCTGTCGTCTATAATCTGGGCCAATAAACTTCTACTGTAGTAAAATAAAAAGGTAAAGGTGTTTTTATTGAGCCGAATTATCAATAAAATCATGATTTTGTTAACAGGTATGGATTTATGTGCTGTCGAGTTAATATATTTGAACAAGAGCACAGTAAAGTTAAATCAGCTAATTTTCTAATGAGGTTCTGTTACTGAACGGATCTACACCATGTTCTACTGAGTTTAGTACATATAGGGTCACAGACATAGTACTAGACACCAAACACCTTTTTAACTTTGACTCATTTCTTTAGCAAAGAGACTAAACACAACTCACCTACTCTCTTCCAGCAGACGCTTGTTTGTAGAGAGACCTCAGGCCAGTCCATTACAGACTACAGCGGGGTGACGCAGCTCAAGGAAGAACATTTATGATCATTTCTTCATGGAAATACAATCAGGAATACTTTAAGGAAATGATAAAGAAATGATTATAGATGTTCTTCCTTGAGCTGCGGCACCCCGCTGAAGTCCGTAATGGACTGGCCTGAGGTCTCTCTACAAACAAGCGGCTGCTGGAAGAGAGTAGGTGAGTTGTGACCATCAGCTCCTGTATGATAAAAGGTAAACCGACTGATGATTGAGTTTTGGAGCTCCAAAGAAAAAACTGAAACGTCTATTTCTAGTGGACAGAGTCATCGACCTTCAACAGAAGAACAACGGGAGCCCGTCAGGGACAAAAACAGCAACTGGTTTAAGGAGACATTATCAGTGAATCCAAACAAGAACGATGACTGAGAGAGAGAGAGGTAAAGAGAAGAGAAATGACTCTGGATTCAGAGAGGAGGAGATGGTTGGAGATAAATGTTAAAATCAAGAAAAGAGAGAACTCAGAGAAGAGAAACAAGGGAGGAAGAACGGAGACGATCAAAAAGACGAATAAAGGAAGGAGAAGACAAACGTTTAGAGGATGCGAAGACCAGAGGGAGCGTTGGAGAGAAGAAAAGTGAGAGTGTGGAGGAAGAAGGATAAAAATAGAAAGAGAGGTGAGGAGGAAGAAGGAGAGGAGGAGAGCGTGTCGTAAACAGAGGAAAGGATTTGATTAGTCCACATGATCGAGAAACCTTCAAGGAGACGTCAAGAAACAAAGAAAATCTTCAGAAATCACATGAAACCACACCAAGATGTAAACAGAGGAAAGAGCGCAGAGTGTTTATCAGAGATGTGGGGTCAACATCTATTCCCAGAAACACCTCCAGGTCCAGGTTTGTCCCGACACTCTGGAAACCTCAGTGAACCCAGGAGAGACCCACAGAACTCAGCTCCTTAACGGGTAAGGGTCTCCTTGGTCCTGGTTTTGGGGTCATGATACTCCAAATGT